TCGATCATTTGCCTCCCATTCCTGCCTGCCTGACCTGGGATCAAACTCAAAACCTAGGTATGTGCCCTGACTGGGAATGGAACCCACAACCTTTTGGTGTACGGGATGACACTTCAACCAACTGAACCATCCTGTCATTATGCTTGTTTAAAAAACAACAACATATTTTTATTGATTTCAAAGAGGAAGGGAGAGGGAGAGATAGAAACATCAATGATGCGAGATAATCATTCGTCAGCTGCCTCCTGCACGCCGCCTACTGGGGATGGAGTCTGCAACCCAGGCATGTGCCTTGACTGGGAATGGAACTGTGACCTTCTGGTTCATAGGTCCGAGGCTCAACCACTGAGCCACACCAGCGGAACAATTCTTTAAAACAATTTTTTAAATATATATTTTTATTAATTTCAGAGAGGAAGGGAGAGGGAAAGAGAGATAGAAACATCAATGATGAGAGAGAACCAGTGATCGGCTGCCTTCTGCACGTTCTCCATTAGGGACTGAGCCCGCAATCCGGGCACATGCCCTTGACTGGAATTGAATCCGGGACCCTTCAGTCCGAAGGCCAATGCTCTAGCCACTGAGCCAAACTGGGTAGGGAAAAAATATTTTATTTATTTATTGATCTTTTAGAGCAGTGGTTCTCAACCTGTGGGTCGCGACCCCTTTGGCGGTCGAACGATCCTTTCACAGGGGTCGCCTAAGACCATCCTGCATATCAGATATTTACATTACGATTCATAACAGTAGCAACATTACAGTTATGAAGTAGTAACGAAAATAATTTTATGGTTGAGTCACAACATGAGGAACTGTATTTAAAGGGCCAGAAGGTTGAGAACCATTGTTTTAGAGAGAGCGAGGAAGGTAAAAGACAGATGAGAGAGAGAGAAAAACATTTGATTTGTTGCTGCACATATTTATGCATTCATTGGCTGATTCTTATCTGTGCCCTGACCAGGGATCAAACCTGCAACCTTGGAGTATCGGTTGACACATGCCCGATTGTTTTGTTTGATGCTCCAACCAACTGAGCTACCCAGCCAGGGCTCCTTCTGCTTCTTCAATAAATGGTTTTATTAAACCCAGAAGAAGGACAACAGGTAGGCCACTGTTGATCCAACAATCTTCTTGATGCTACAGAGTACAAATTCCTCATATTTTTCATTCCTTGTTTCACCTGATTTTTGGTTGTCACTGGGTATCCTATATCGGGATAACCTGTCACCCTGGGTTAGTTAACTGGTTTCCTCATACCAGTCTTTACTGGTCTTCCAGATTGCTTTCACTGCCCTCTGTTATGCAATCTCACAACATCCTGTGCTTCTTTCTCCCTCATGCTATTTTCCTCAATGAAATAGTTCTGTAATGATTGTTTAATGTCTATTTTTTTTTTTCCTGGTAAATCATGAGACTCATAAGAGCTGAGGCTGTGTCTGGCTTGTTCACCACCGACGCCTCAGCACTTAGCTCAGGGCCCAGCACATAATGGGTACTCAATGAATATTTACTGAATGAACAGACATTATACTGCAGGTGACTCTTGCCATGCCCCTATTAATATCTTTCAGACCCCACTGCATTTCATTAATGGCTTTCTATTTCTTGAATACAATTTGAAACTGCTTTAGGCACACCTGTAATAGATGTAACAATGTGTTACAAAACGCTTCCAGCTACTCTTTCAATAGCTCAATGTGGGGCCGGTTACGGTGTTTTGGCCAGGTTCAAGCCTCGGACTAATGAAAGGACAGGGTTCTCTGATTGCCACGTGCAAGTCCCAGCTGGAGGGCAGGGCCCTCCCAGCACAATCATAACCCACGGCTGTGGCTGTAAGCTTGAACCTATGGTCCGAACACGTAGCCCCACGTGCCTTGTGATAGAGTTCGGGTGCATGTAGTTAAGTGAGGATGAAACTCACGAGAATGCTGTAAACAACTTGATCATGCCCCTACTTTGCCTCGTGGCATCTGCTATAAAATAAAGACACGGCTTGTGGGCGCTGGCGCTGTCTCCTCATCAGGGAGCAGCGTCCCACCGAGACCCAGCTTTCATTCTCGTGTCTGTCTTTTCTCAATCCTTTCACCCCCCCACTCAGGGTCACTGAACCAGGCTGAGCTGGCATGGCACATAAGGCGCCCTGGGGCTGAGTATGCCATGGCGGTGCCGGCTCCCCACAGCTCAATTTAAATTTCTAGCCAGCAAAGCAACTCTTTACAAAGAAGGCTGAATCCTTAGATATGGCCTGGACCTTTATCAGACAGTTTTTTTCTAAAACAGAACGAAGGGAAAGACAGTAAGTTGCCAATACAGAGGGAAGTACTGTATAGTGTATATCGCTGATCCTAACCCACACAGACTCACTTATTCTCAGATTTAATAACATCCTGCCACCTCCAGGACTTAACTTGGCAACAATACCACTAAAATGGTATAGGGTTTCAGAAGTCGTCACCCCCAGATATGCCTCTGTTTTAGGAGGGTTATTTTGAGCTAAGGTCAACTGAGATCCTGTGGGCTCAAGAGAAACTTCTGCCTGCCACTCCCTTAACTTCCTAGAAGAATTTGGATTAGGGGCCTTGCTCATAATAAGATATTATCACTTGGAGTGCGGGAAATGAGTTAAGTCGGCTCGCGTGAATTGCGCGTACTCCGCGGGAGCCGTCTTTAACTCGGTTCATATAGATTTGCGGTGGAGTGCGGGAAACGTGTAAACTCGGGCCGATTGTAACTGCGTATTACCAAATATTTGTTTGTAATCCACCCTTTTGGTGGATGGAACAAAACCAAAAGACAGAGCCATCTTATATTTTGGCGGGAAATTCACCCGCACTCCAAGTGTTATCAGAGATGACCTTTAAAAAAAACACCACTATCTATATGGCAGGAAAAACAACGAATTACCGAACATCTGCTCTTCTTATTGTCCTGCAATGACCCTTTGAAGCCCCAAGGTGCCTTACCTCAAACTTTGTTCAAAATGCCATGCGTGCCCCATTTTAATCGTCTCTGACTGTTGGGGTCCAACCCCAGCAGGTCCAGGGGTTCCCATAGGTGGGGATGGAGTCGGCGAAGAATGAATGACACATAGGCAGTGTTCAGGTGATCATCATAGCCAGGTTCCTCTAGCCAGGTTCTCCAGCCAAGTTCTGTTTTTTATTGTCTTGTTACATCTGTATTTATACCAGTTGATTTTAATCCTGTCAATTTCTATTCCAAAGGTTAGGGCGTTTTTTATCTCCATTCCAGGGAGTAAAGATTATGTAGCTTAAGGGTGATTGTTTGTAGTTAAAGTGATTAACTACCCACCTGGCATTTAGTTAAGGGGTTTTATTCCGTCCCTAACTTCAGGGAAAAATCCCTACCTGGGGAAACAACCTTTCTCGGAGAGGTGACCTTGGTTAAAACACATAGCGCCAAGAAGGTGAGCAAACATATTAAGAACAGTATGCCATATACGCCAGGTCCCTTGAAACATATGCTGTGCAGATGTTTCTTCCCTGCAGCGACTGTGTCAAGCAGCAAGGATGGACTGGCTTCCGGCATCTGACTCTCTTACATATGTGGGGTTCCCATGTGTACATATGTAATCAAACTTGGTCATTTTCTCTTGTTAATCTGTCTCAATTTAATTATCAGGCCAGCTGAAAAAACCCAGGAGTTTCTTCTTCCACCACAGTAGATATGGTGATAGTGTTTACTTGTCTGAGGCCTTTAGGCCGTCCTGGCCTCATCCTTAGAATCTTTCTGTGCTTCTATTTGACACCAGAGACTAAGAATGAGGGAATGGCTGGTTGTGAAATATCAAAGCGCCATTCTCTGGGTCCTAGACATGTGATTTGGAAATAAGTGGGAACAGAGTAAAATGCCCTGAGCAGGAAGTTGAGCTTGTGTCCCTGTCTATGTGGAAAGTCTGCTATCATCTTATCTTCTCCCATACACCCCACTCCCCGCAACAAGCCCTCTGTGCTCTGAATAGTTTAACTTCTTGGTATTATAGTTTTGGTGTAGTCCTTTTGATGTGGGCCTGAAAGATTCTCTTCTATTGCTTGTCCAAAACTAGCAGGGGCTTCCTAATATCACAACTTTAAATTATTTAACCCCATTCAGTAAGTTTTTTTTATTCTGAATACTTTCAGATTAAATATCAGAATTAATATAAACATACATATGTATATCTATGTCATGTTCTCTCAAACTTGCTATTCCTTTCTTTTGCGCTCTTCCCCATATTGTTCACATGGATGGCTTTTTGTCATCCTTCAGGTCTCAGCTTACATGTCACTTACTTGAAGAGACTTGCCCAATCTAATTAGTCACCTCCTACTTTAATTTCTCTCAGAAACCCTGTTTTCCTTAATAACATGTATCACAAGACTTCATATATTTACTGTGTTCATTCACTTAATTCTGTCTATTCCACTAGACTGTAAGGTTTCCAAGGGCAGGGACCTAGTTTGTTTCTCTCACTTTTGTATTGGTAGGGCCTAGCACAGTGGCTGACATAGTAGGTGCTTTACAAAAAACGGATCAATAGCCCTGGTCAGTGTTGCTCAGCTGGCTGGGCGTCCTATGCACCAAGAGGTTGGCTCAATCACCAGTAGGGGGCGAGCAAGAGGCAGTCACTAGATGTACTCTCACGTTGATGATTCTCTCCCTCTTCCTTCCTCTCTCTCTCTAGAAATCAATAAATTATTCTTAAAAACACACACATGATAAATAGATGAACGAATATTGCCTTGGTTGCTTCACTTGTGCCTTCAACTGCATTTTAGTTCTTTCTGCACTGCAACCCGGAAGGGAATAGGAGAAATTTACAACGCCCCTTCCCTTCATCACCGAGCACTGAGGTGGCAGTTCCTTTGTTGAGAAGCTGTTGGCTTCTCCTGGGCGGCCGTCACATACCCAAAGGTGCACAACAATTCTATTAGTAATAGTGTGACTGAGGCACTCAGGAGAGCTGTCAGAAATGCTTTCAAAGTTACAATCACTGGGTTCTTGGACATTCGAGACTATTAACCACTGCCGTTTACGATGAACAATTAAGTGATGTTGAATGAAGTGTGTGTGTATTTTTTTGCATGACGAACCAAGGCATCTTACACCATTTCTCTGAAGGGAAATTCAGATATTACACAGTCTTCCTTCCTTGAGCTCCAGAAAGCTGAGCCTCTTGCAGCAGCAACTCTGACCAATGGGGGGCGGCAGCATCTCAGTAACTCACTCCCTGAAGACTTGTAGGTAGGAGGAGAAAGACTCGCGGCCAAAACCTTTTTGACTCCATCCGCTCTCCGTAGCGCCTTAACCCGCTCGAGTTTCAATGCGCGCTGTTGTTGGACGAAGCTGAGTCCTATACACCGCCCGCTGCTCTCCTGATCATGGCTTCTCCGAGTTCCTTCACCTACTGCAGCCCTCCATCTTCCTCCCCTGTCTGGTCAGAGCCGCTGTACAGTCTGAGGCCCGAGCACGCGAGGGAGCGGTTGCAGGACGACTCGGTGGAAACAGTCACGTCCATAGAACAGGTGAGATGACAGGACTAGACGAGGCGCCCGCGCGGGGGCTTCTGGGAGTGGGAGTCCCATCCGCTGGGCCCCCCGTGTGCGGAACTTATCACGGAACTACAGTTCCCAGAGTGCAGCGCGGAGCCTCCCTTCTGGGGAGCTCCGGGCGCCTGGGCTTGGTCTGGGGAGTGGAGCGTTTGTGGGTTGGGGTCGTTGTCAGGATTGGGCTTGGAGGAAAGCACAGTCCCTGGGTCCCCTCTGCCTTAGGAAGCGGAGAGAATCATGTTCTGTGCTTGGAGGTCAGAAGCAGCCCGGGCGGGTCAGACAGCCCACTCCATTCCGCCGGGACTTCTGGAGGTTCTGGGATGGATAGTGTAATCTCCCCACCCTACTTGTACTTTGGGGACAAAGTGAAAGAGAAACCGCCAGGCGGAGGTCATGTCAGGTCACGATCTATTTCTGCCTCCAGTGCCAGGCTTAGGGCCTGCCTCGCGGGTGGGCACTGTAGTCATTCAATCATTTGAGCACCAGCAGTGTGTTGGACACAATGTTAAACGCTGGAAATACAAAGAAATAAAACAGCGCCCGACCATGAGCATGTCACAGCCTGCTTGGGGAAGACAGACAGGAAACCAGTATAGTTTGGAAAGTGTTTACAATAAAAGTATACATTTTAACTACTTGCCATCCATTCACTGAGTCCAGGAAGTAGGATGGGACCTATCCTTTGAAAGTGTTTTAGGAATGAGTAGTGAGCGGTAGTTTTGTTTTTCTTTTCTTTCCCCAACTGTTCCCAAGTAGTTGTGAAAATGTTTACCCATCTGTCACTAGGAGAAGTGGTCAGGATGATTCTTTGTAGCACTTACAAATAAGCGTCAGGCTGCTTACTAAAATAGGTCTGGTGGAAATCGCAGTCTCCAGGCTTAACCTTGGAGGGACCTGCTTTGACTTTCATATTTGAAGTTGGAAGCCCCCATTAAGGCAAAATTAGTAGTGATAGTTATCATATTATGTATTATGGCTATAAATACAATTATAAGTTAATAAGAAAAACAAAGGCTTGACTACACAATTATACACATAGTAGCAGAGAGAATATTATAACTGGAGATTTATGCTTCATGGATTTTAGGGTAGAAAAGGAAACCCTTATCTTTTGACTTTAGGTTCACCAGTGTGTCCTTTTCAGAACTCTTTTGCAAAAGATGGCAAAGAACTCTCCCATCAATGAAAAACCTATAGCGTCTTTGCAGTTTTTATAAGTGATGAATTTTTGAGTTGAGATCAAGCCTTTTTCTTTGTATCTGACCTAAGACTTTTGGGTTACCTTTTATGTAGTTAACTGAATTGACCCAGCACACAAGGCTATGGGTAGAATGCTAATAGGGAAAAGGGAATAGAAATTGGTCTGTATATTTAGAGGTCAGAAGAGAGACTTCCATGATTAAGTCAAAAAAGGAACGTTTATCAGGAGCCTTACTGATCTGCTCTTTTTCTTTTTCTATACTTTTTTTTTCTTCTTCAGTAGAGTGCCCCTGCTTAGTCCCTAAAAGAAACACCAGTGCCTATATTCTAACTACCTAGGCATAAATGAGTGATGCAAAAATAGATGCAACAAGGTTCTGGTCTGCAAAAGGGCAGGCCAAGGCCTGGGCCAGGAGTGGAAACCGAGTTCTGATACGGAACGTAGGTTTTACAGGGTGTCTTTCAAATGTAGGCCCAACTGTGAGGTAGATGGAAAAGAAATATTTTGTTTCCTTTCTATGTCATATTCCAGCTCACATTTTAAAAGTCTAAGATAAAGAGTTCTAGATAGTGGGGAGATAACACAGTATCTCATTTTCAGGCTGCCTCAGTGTTTTCATAATCATCATAATGTCCATTCATTGCTTCCCAGCACTGTGCTTAAGGCTCTCCACACATTGTATCATTCAATCCTTACACATTTTACAGATGAGAAAACTGAGGCTTAGAGGAATACTAGGTTGGTAGATTAATAATGATATATTAATAAATACCAACCTTGCTAGGAGGAGTTGTTTACAGAATATACTACTTCTATTCTTTTGGTTCTGACTGAACCATTTATTCATAGGGATTTACTCAATTTTGCGCCATTGCCAATAAAAACAAATGCTTAAAAAAACAAACAAACAAAAACCAAATGCTTGTCACCTGCTTTCTATCTGATTATCAGGAGACTTTATTTGTTAAAGAACAATTTGATAATAGGAGTTAAACCTGTAAATCATGGAAAGAGCCCTTAGTTATGATTCCTTCTGTTTTATTTATTCATTTTAATTTAGTCAACAAATACTTGAGTGCCTTCTATGTGTCAGGCACTGTTCTAGGCACTGGACATAAGGCAGTGAACAAAAGGGGCCAAGTTGATGGCGTTATGAAACTTTTGTTCTAGGCCAGGAGGCAATCAATTAAAAAAGGGGAAACTGTTTACCTACCTACTTACCTACCTACCTACCTACCTATCATCTATCATTTATTAGGTATGTTAGAGAGGAAAATAAAGCAGGATAAGGGAAACAGAGTATGCCAGAAATGGATAGGGTGGAAGCAGGGATGGTTTTTAGATAAGATGACAAGAGAAAGCCTCTGATACGACATTTTGGCTGAAACCTGAAGTAAATGAGGGCACAAGCTACGGGAGTATCTGGGTATTAGCTTCTGTTTACTTCCCCAGATTCACTCTACGCTTCCCCCCCACCCCCTCCCTCTGCTCTGTAGATGTGCCCAGGAGGTGGGCCTGCATTGGCAGGCTCCCTTGCCTTATGGCTTCTGGTTGTATTGGGCCATGCGGAGCATGGGTAGGGGATGACAGAGAGGGAGAAGAATGAGATCAGCATATTTATTCCCTGCCTACAGGACGGCATGAGCTGTATCTCTAGACTTAAGGTCACATCTCCTATCAGGTGCCTTCTCCACGCAGCTCTCTGTGTCCATCTCCTTCTCTTCACACCTGGCCTAGGAGGGGATCAAGCACCCCCGTGTCGCCAGCCCCCAGGCACTGCAGTCTCCTCTGTGGTTTCCCTACACCTGCCCGTGCCTTTGTAACTCCTTCCTTTATAAACTCTCCTCAAAGCACCCACTTTGAATGTGCCATCTGTTCCTACCAGACTGATCCGTGATGGGAGGGTTTTGACACACTCTGACTAGCATTTCATCAGGCTCGTGCAGGCCACTGTTGAGAAATAGATTGTGAGGCGGAGAGGGTGCCGGGAAACTAGTTAGGAGGCTGTTGCAACACTGCAGGTGATGGATGATGGCTGCTTAACTTGGGGCTGTGGTAGTGGAGCAGTGGTAGTAGAGTGTCTTAGGTCAGGTCCTGGGTATTTTTTGAAGGTGTCCACCTTGACATGTGTTTTACTGATGGATTTGATGCTTGGAGCACCTTTTATAACTCCAGAAAGCAAGGCAGTTTGTGTTGTTAGTGGTTGCCTTCCTTTTTGTGCCACCTGCAGTCACCCATTGCAAACACTCTGCGATCAGGTCAGTAGGTTAAACTGGTACAGTCTCAGCGGTAGCAGGCTTCCAGAAGCAGCTGTGTGCTGAAGGTACTACTCCTGTTGTTTTTTTCCTCTCATAGTTTGCCTTTGAACAGAGGCAAAAGCATCCTCCACCTGAAATGGCATGATGTCATTAGACAACCTTCAGTGACATGATAATGAACTCTGAGGGGACTCTAGAAGAATTCTTAGTTTTAGTCCCTGCCCTCAGAATTCTTTCCTCTGAGGGGGGGGGGGGGAATATGCCTGAAGCAATCACAGAATAGCTTATAAACTGCATTGCATGAGGATTTCCGGGGATGGAAGCTAATCTGTTGTGGGCTGAGACCATCAGGACAACTTCCTTTCCTGGGACTGGGCTGGGTTGTAAAGGATGGGGTTGGGGGTGGGAGAGCCCTTCCAGTGGAAGGAGCCCGTGTGAAGGAAGACTCACCAGGAATGAATGGAGGGTGAAGTGGGCTGTGGGAGGAAATAAGTCAGGCTGGGTGGGGCTGATGGGGGTGGGGCCGGCTGGAGGGCCAGGCTGAAGAGCTGGCTTGAAGTGAGGGGCATTGCACCACTGCAGTTCCTGAAGGAAGAGCACGGGGATCCAGGAATGAGTCCTGAACTCCTGCTGTTGACTTGTTTCAAGTTAGAGTCTCCAAAAGATTATTGAATGGGGGTGGGACAAACCACTAAATACGATCAAACTTACCAGGTTTTGTGTGCATCTAATAGAAGAGAAGAGAGAGCTCTGCTTGGTTAAGTAGTCAGTGGGCTAGCTCTGTGAGTCAATTTTATTAAATTCAGCATATACCATATTGCCCACAGTAAGGCAATTTCAAACATCAAAATTTTCCCTATTAAAAAGTCCCCCAAAGTGTTTTTTGGTCAGGTTGAAAAACATGTACTTTTAGGTATGTAGACAAACAAATCAAATGCTACTTAAAGTAAAATTTCCTTTTTTTTGGCAGGGGAAATGGGGAGCAAAATTTACATTTTAAATTTAGGTACATATACCTATAATCACATATACTCTATAAAATCACACTAATTTAGAAATATGTTTTTTCCTCCTCCTCTTGTTCATAAGATATTTTTCTTCAAACTCCTCACATCCATATTTGACCTTAGTATTTTTACCATCACTGGAGCCACATTTGGATTAGCTAATATGTTTGTCCAGACCACACTTTCAGTTTTTTTGAGATTCGTCCCTTGTGAGTATGGGTAAGATATTGTCATTGACTATTTTATTACAAGTTACAATTGGAATTTTCTTACAATGTGTCCAGTCTGTGTATACCTGTGGTCGCCACAACTTAACCATACTATTACTTTTTAAAGTAATGAAAATCTTGAAAATCTTACAATGGCAACTTGCATGTGGAAGTGTGAGTTCATAGCCCAGGAATAACTACTAAATCTGTGTTTAATTTGTCTTCTTTTGCTGATATCATCAGTTTAGCTCTATAAGTAGTCAAAACCAGACCTTATTTTAGGCTGATGTGTCAACCCCAA